CCCGTTCTCAGCAGGTGGCGAGCGCTGTTACTCTTTGATACCTTTGTGACGTTTGGCAAGTCACCTGGCCTGTCCGAGCTAATCCTTCCCCCTCACACGTTCAGTAATACTTCTTTCGTTTGGCTGAAAGTTGCGGGGGCATCTGCGGGGTGCTCAGATGTTGGTGCCTAGATACGCGGTGGGGGTAGCACACCCAGGACGTGGGCCAAGCTCCCTCTCGAGTGAGTGCTCAGCACGTGGTGGGACATGGCCTGGGCGAGTGGGGTGGCCCGGGCACGCCTGCTTTGGGCCGCTTCCTCAGAAGAGCTTGGGGAGCGCACCCCCAAGAGAGACGCCAGGAGACCCTGCATGCATGTGGTTCTGGCCCTGCGAAAGTGCATTTCTCAGCACCAGGAGCAGCCACAATTCTTTAACTTTTTTTTTTTTTCCCGAAAAAAAGCTTACAGAGCAAAATAAAACAGGACTGTCCTTGTTTCCCGAGGCCAAGCAACGGGGGTTTGTTTTCTGACCCTGTCTCACCACAAAGAAGAAAGGGCCTGAGGCTTTGCACAGTCTGCCCAGTGAGCCCTGCCCTGTGAACCTAGGCTGTGGTTACTGCAGCTTGTGGGAAGAGGCGGCCAGATTGGCACCTGTGGCCTGAGTGGGCTGCCCAGCTTCAGGGCTGTTCCTGTGACTTCAGCCTGACCTGGAACCCTGCCCAGGCCCCAGGTTCCTTGACCTGGGGGACCTTTATTTTAACAGGCTTTTTCCTGAAGGGGAGGACATTGGCTTTTGTTTTTTGTTTTGAGTTGCAGTCTCACTCTGTCACCCAGACTGGAGTGCAGTGGCCGCTCCCGGCCACCGCAGCCTCAATCTGCTGGGCTCCGGCGATCCTTCCGCCTCAGCCTTCCAAGCAGCTGGAACTATGAGCACGTGCTACCACTCCCGGCTCATTTTGATCTGTTATAGAGATGAGGTCTCGCCAAGTTGCCCAGGCGGGTCTCGAACCCGCAGGTTTAGGCAATCCACTCACCTCAGCCTCCCAAAGGCGCGGGATTACAGGCTGAGCCACCAAGCCCGGCTTTTGTTTTGTTTTGTTTTTTGAGTTGGAGTCTCTCTCTGTCACCCAGTGTGCAGTGGCACACTCACAGCCACCCCAGCATCTACCCGCTGGGCTCTGGTGATCCTTCTGCCTCAGCCTTCCAAGTAGCCAGAATTACAGACGCGCACTATCCTGCCTGGCTAATTTTTGTTGTATTGTAGAGAAGAGATCTTGCCAAATTGCCCAGCTGATCTCGAACCTTCGGGTTCAGGCAATTCACTCACCTTGGCTTCCCAAAGTACTAGGATTACAGGCTGAGCCACCGAGCCTGGCCAGCCTGACATTGGCTTTTATAGTTAGTAAAAATGCTTGCCCGGCCAGGTGGCTCACACCTGTAATCCCAGCACTTTGGGAGGCAGAGGCGAGAGGATTGCCTGAGGCCATGGGTTTGAGACCTGCCTGGGCAGCATGGCAAGACCTCATCTCTACAATAAATCAAAAAAATTAGCCAGACGTGGTGGTGCACACCTATAATTACAGCTACTTGGAAGGCCTGAAGCAGAAGGATCACCCGAGCCCAGCAGGTCGAGGCTACAGTGGCCGTGAGTGTGCCACTGCACTCCAGCCTGGGCAACTGAGTGAGATGCCAACTCAAAAAAAAAAAAAAAACAAAAATGCTAGCTGCAAAGTAAAGGCAAAATTCACTGAGGTGAGTGTCTTGGGGGCCACTGAGACCTTTCTTGTCCTGGGAGAAGGCTGCGCAGCTCCTAGCAGCCTGGCGGGTGCTCTTACCTCCAGCAAGATGCAGCCTCAGCAACCAGGAAGGCACTCTTTGCTTTGGGAAGGAGAAAACCCCTCTTGGAGTCTGGTTCTTACTTTTCTCCCAGATGCCCACACAGGTCCTCCTCCCCCAGGGCCTCTGGTTGTTGATAGGCTATGACCTAGAGCCACCTGCTGTTTTCCATTGTCCAAGGCCCCTTTAGGCGTCATTGCCCCTTGGCTCCTGCCCCCACCCAGGTGCTTTTTGGCTGCAGAACTCTGCCTGGAAGGGGGCAGGGAGGGCGGCCACCCAGAGAAGTGTGAGTGCCCTCTGGCCCAGGAACACATGACCCTGTTCTCTGCAGCAGGGAGGCCCATGGTAGGGTGACCATGGCTGGACTTTTCCCCTGAGGGCTACTCATCAGGAACTCTTGCGTGAATGTTGGAAAGACTGTCCTAACCTTGATCTCTTTGCCCGTGTCCTGGCCTGGTCCTCAAAATCACTACTTACCTGGATGGGGATTGCTGCCTGTGCGGCCACCCTATCTTCCGGCTGTCCCTCAGTCCTGCCCAGCTTGCACAGTGGGAGACCCCTTTCTGTCCCCATCTGTTTTTGCTGCCCCCCCACTTCTTGGGGAGCTCCCCTGGCCATGTTCAAAGGGTACCATGTGGGGGGGCACACTTGGCCATGGATGAGCTTTCTTGAGGTCAGTGCTAGGGGTGGGCCTGGGAACGGGGATGCTGGGGTCATTGTTGGGTCTGTAAGCACCACTCTGTCCCACAGGTGCATCTACAAACGCAGCAGGAGGTGAAGCTGCGCATGACGGGCATGGCGCTGCAGGTGGTGCGCTCCGACGGCCTCCTGGCACTCTACAATGGCCTGAGCGCCTCACTGTGCAGACAGGTGCACTGGGCAGAGGGTGCGGGTGGGCCCACCTCCCAAGCTGCCTGTTCTCTCCACTGGCCCAGCTCTTGGGTCCTGGTCCCAAAGCCCACTCTCTGGATGGCAGCTCTCAGGCTGCTGTGGGACTGCTTCCTCCTCCTCGTCAAGACTTCTTACAGGGAGAGACCCATACAAGAAGGGTGGGCATCAGCCTAGTTCTGTGGCTGATGAGGCCTAGGGAGGGAGAGAGGAGGGTGCAACCGTAGATTTGTAAATGGACTCTGCCGTGTGCTGGCAGAGTGCCTTGGGAAGCCCCTCAGGGTCCCTGTGGGCAACGGGGTGATGGCTACCTGACTAGGGATGGGGTGGAGAAGGCTGAGGGATATGGAGCATGCTGTCCCCCTGAGCTGGGCCCTTGTCCCCCAGATGACCTACTCCCTGACGCGGTTCGCCATCTACGAGTCTGTGCGAGACCGCATGACCAAGGGCAGCCAAGGGCCTCTTCCCTTCCACGAGAAGGTGTTGCTGGGCTCCATCAGTGGTGAGCGGCTGGTGGGGACACAGGGCGGGTGGGCTGGGGATATCAAGAGTCGTCATTTGTTAGCTCTGTGTTTGTGTCACCCCAGGTTTAGCTGGAGGCTTCGTGGGGACTCCTGCGGACTTGGTCAATGTCAGGTTGGTGTGTGCCCCCATTCCCAAGATCATGGGCTTTCCTGGCAGGCAAGGACTGGCTGGGGTCTGCAGCATGTTCAGCCTGGAGTCCCAGGCATGGGTGCCTCTGAGCCCCTGGCATGCCCTGCCCTGCAGCCCAGCCAACCACCAGAGTGAGCTCACCTGCCCCTGCAGGTACTGGTGGGCAGGGCGTGTCCAGCAGCTGTGTGACCCTCCTGAGTTGCTGCTTCTCTTTCAGGATGCAGAACGATATGAAGCTGCCCCAGAGCCAGCGGCGCAAGTGAGTCCCAGCGCGGCTCTGCCGGTGGGGGGCAGCTGGTGCAGAAGACCTGGGCCAGGAGGGACCCCCCTCACCAATTCTGCCATGACCTCACTTGGACTCTAGCAGGCCCCATCACTTGTGGGACCACACGGAATGGTGGGGAAGAAGTGCTGATGGGTTTCAGGAACAAATACTGTGCGCGGCTCTTCTAGAATTGGGGTGTCACTTCATCCCCCAGGACATTTGGGTTTTACCTTGTGGGAAAAATCTTGTAGGATTAGGGCCAACCTAGGGGGACCATTCCCCCTTCAAACCTGTTGTGCCTGGAGTGGTATCGTGAGGCTGGGCTCGTCAGGCTTGGTATGTGCAGAGATGCTACAGCCTCTGAGGTGTGGAGTAGTCGTGTGAGATAGAAACACTCCAATAGAGAGGTGTGAAGGAGGACCTGCCCTCCCTGCCTGACTCTCAGAGCAATCCTGGCTGACGCTAGGCTCTGGCCATGTCCTTCTGCAATGACCCATTGTCTTCTCATTCTGTCTGTCGTCTACTCCGACTGCAGCATGAGCCAGGTCACCCACCCCTCTAAGGCCCCAGGGAGTCTCTGGTTTCTGACTCCACGTGCAACTGTGTGCTCTTGGACTGAGCAGTGCCTGGTCAGGGTGGCCAGGGCACTTGCCAGCTGGGAGTTCTGTTGGGGAAGACGGGACCTCCACCCTTAGGGCCAGAATACATTGGGTGGGACAGGGTGGCGGGTAAGGCAGAGGGATCTTCAGGTCCATAAGGCTTCATGATGCTTCTTAAAGAGCCACATGGCCTATAATGGGGATGTGGCTCTTCCCGGAGCATGTGGAGGACCCTCTGTGAGAGTTGGTGACTGGGGAGAGCCTCATGTGGCCTGTTTCGTGTTCCTGGCAGCTATGCCCATGCCCTGGATGGCCTGTTCCGCGTGGCTCGTGAAGGTGAGAGGAGCAGATGCTTTGCGTGGGGTGGGGGCCCAAGGATACAGGGGGTTCAGGGGTATCATGCAGAGGGATCTGGGGGATTTGTACCGGGTGCCCAATCTCACCCCTTCCTCATGCAGAGGGTCTGAAGAGGCTGTTTTCGGGTGCAACCATGGCATCCAGCCGAGGGGCCTTAGTCACCGTGGGCCAGGTAGGGTTCCTGCGTGGGGTGGGGTCCAGGGAGCGTCTACAGCCTCTGACCTGCCTCTTCAGAGGTGTCACGAAGCAAGGCAGTGAGCACTGAGACCCTCCTGGGGAGCCACCATGGTGGGGCTGGGGAGGTGGGTGTGGATGGGTCAGGACCACAGCCTGTGTATGACCTTGGCAGGTCCCTCCCCTGTCTGGGCCTCACCCTGGACAGGGCAGGTGCATGGCCATTGCCAGGTGGTGTCATTGTGGGGCCCTGTCTGCCATCCCTGGAGCCTGGGTGCTCCTTTGCAGCCCTAACCATCCCTGTCCCTCACCACACCCCTGCAGCTGTCCTGCTATGACCAGGCCAAGCAGCTGGTTCTCAGCACCGGATACCTGTCTGACAACATCTTCACTCACTTTGTTGCCAGCTTCATTGCAGTAAGTGGCTGGAGTAGCCAGGATGGGGGTCCCTGACCCAGCCTTGGGAAGTGAGGGCACCTGAGGTGTAGTGAGGGCTTGAGGAGGCTGGGGGCCTTGGTGAAGGATGGAGCCTTTCTGAGGCTACATAAGTGGGTGCCAGGGCCTTGGGAGGCCATGGGTAAGCCTGGTGCCTAGACCAGGCTATTCTGGTGCCCTCTTGGGAGTCGGGATTAGGGGCTCTTTTCGAGGCTGGGCCTGTGTGTGGGATGTGGCACGGGTGTCTGCGGGCCCCTGGTGACAAGCCCTTCCACAGGGCGGATGTGCCACATTCCTGTGCCAGCCCTTGGACGTGCTGAAGACCCGCCTCATGAACTCCAAGGGGGAGTATCAGGTGAGTTGGGATGGGCCTTTCAGGCCTAGGTGCCCAGCTGGCAGTTCCTGCCATGCACTGCGGGGCTGTGTGACCCGGTGTGTCTCTGCACCTCCGGCAAGTGTCTTCCTCAGGGGATGTCGACCTGGGGGAGGGGTGTCACCCCATGATGGCTTCCCTTCCAGTCATCTACCTCTGTACCGCCTTTGGCCTCAATAGAAGGAGTCATGCCTTTCAGTGGCCTTTGCCTTATTTTTAAATCAGGTCTCTTTTGCAAATTAACCAAGGTGGCCCTGTCCGTTGCGATCAATGTCATATAAGTCACACACCGAGTATTCTGCCTTGGGCCCCACCCACTCCAGGGGCCTTGTGTGTGTGCAGTGCCCACAGCTCTGTCCTTGCCCTTCTTGTCCCTACCTCGTTCCTGGCTCTCATGGTTCTGTTCACAGCCCTCTCTGGCTGCTGGCTCCTAGGGTGTACCTTTGGTCCTGATTTTGCCGCCTCAACAGGCAGGATGGGCAGTGAACCTGGCCCTTGTACCAGGAGTCGTTACTTGTTCACACTGGGTGTCTGCCACCCACGTTTAGAGTTCACGGTTTAGATGGCCACCATGCCCCACCAGTGCCCAGGGGGGATTTCACTTGTGCCTTTTGAATGAAAAGCAGCCTTTTTTTTTCTTCACTGAATTTCCTGCAGGGTGTTTTTCACTGTGCTGTGGAGACAGCGAAGTTGGGGCCCCTGGCCTTTTACAAGGTATGGCAGGGGTGGGGCTGGGAGTTGGGGACAGCCCCTCTGGGCTCTGTTTGTCTCTGCCTCTCATCCTCGTCTCTTTCCAGGGCCTCTTTCCTGCTGGCATCCGCCTGATCCCCCACACCGTGCTTACCTTTGTGTTCCTGGAGCAGCTCCGCAAACACTTTGGCATCAAAGTACCATCCTGACCGGCTGTGGGTAGGGTTGGGTCACCCAGGCCACCAGTGCCAAGATTCTTCCAAAGAGTCCAAGAGTGTCAGCTTGAGCCTAACATATATTCTTCTGGTGTGGGGCCTCCCCTCCTCCCTGGCTGGGGGTCACCCATTGTCCCCAGCAAGCGCTGGCTGAGCTCAACCCCCCCTGAGCCACTGTAGCTGCACCCCTACCCCCTGCTCCAGGCCCTCCGACAGGCTCTCCCCATGGGGCGTTTATGTGACCTTGTCCTTTCCCCACAAGTGACTGGAAGAAAGAGGGGGAAGAGGCACCTGCCACGATGCTGGTTTCCTGCCCTTCCTGGGCTGCTCTTGCCACGTGGGCAATGAAGGCTGGAGTTGAACATAGGCTGTCCCTGCCTCCTGCTCCTGCTGGGTCCCTTGCTCTGGCTCTTGAGGTTTATCTTTATTCTTTATTTTTATTTCTTAGTTGTAGTCTCACTCTCACCCAGGCTGAAGTGCAGTGACAGCCACCACAATCTCAACCTGCTGGGCTCAGGAAATCCTTCCACCTCAGCCTTCCAAGAAGCTGGAACTACAGGCATGCACCACCCCACCCAGCTAATTTTTTGGTTTATTGTTAGAGATAAGGGATCGCCAAGTTGCCCAGGCTGGTCTTGAACCCCTGGGCTCAGGCAATCCTCTAGCCTCCACCTCCCAAAATACTGGGATTACAGGATGAGCTACCCTGCCCAGCTAGCTTCTGAGGTTTATTCCTGTCATGGAGCCACTGCTTGGGCTGAAGCCCATCTTCCAGCAGTTTCCATCCAGGACCTGGTGGCAGATTGGTGTGTACGCCCCTTGCTATTGCTCACTGAGTTACATGAGACCATGTGCACTTTGACCTCCTGAGAGGGACTAGACCGCTAGTGTCCTTGAAGGCACTGCAACTCCAAGACCTGTCCTCTAGATGAGACGAACAAAATAATGCGGATGACAAGCACATGCCCAGGAGAGGGGCCCAGAGCAGGGTCTCGAGCAATCGCAGGTGATGGATATGTGTCCCTGAGATCTCATGTACCACCCTGACCCCAAGTTCACCCCCAGTTGCTTATTTTTTTTTGAGTCTGAGTCTCACTCTGTCACCCAGACTGGAGTGCAGTGGCATGCTAATGGCCACCGCAACCTCGACCTGCTGGGCTCAGGTGATCCTTCTGCCTCAGCCTTCCAGCTAGCTGGAACCACAGGCATGCGCCACCACACTGGGCTAATTTTTTGATTTATTGTAGAAACGAGGTCTTGCCATGTTGCTGAGGCTGGTCTCAAACCCCTGAGCTCAGGCAGTGCTCTCGCCTCCGCCTCCCAAAGTGCTAGGATCACAGGCGTGAGCCACCATGCCCAGTTGCTTTAATGGTTAGTTTTGCCAAAACCTCTCAGTACCAACAGGCTGCTACTGTCTTCAGGGATTGTGCCTGCATCCCCCATGTCCCTCATGTCCCTCCCTCACGACTCTCTGGGGACTAGCCCACACCAGGCAGAAGCAGTGCAGGCCGATTGTACGGCATCCTCATGATCCTTCTCCCTGTGTGGGCAGTGGTCAACCCACAGCCCACTGACCAAAAAACCATCACTGGGTTCTGCCACCAAAGTAGCCCTTACTCCACCCTCAGGAGTGGCCACTGAGTTGTCTGCCTCCTAGACCCTGAGTTCTGGGGGCACAGGACAGACTGGCAGGCACCAAAGCGCTGCTCACACGCTCTGTTGGGAATGCTAATAAACGTCGGAGCTGCACTGTGTCTGTTCCTACACCCTCCATCACCTGCCACGAGAGGCCCCTCATCTCCAGACTGCCTTGCTGTCTGGGTGACAGGACCCCCTCGGCACTCAACAAGAGGGCAGGGCCAAGGGCCGGCGGGGGGAGGAGCTGTGGCCCAAGCTGTTGTCCAGCATACCCAGAAGTGACTGGGAGACTCAGCTTCCAACAGACTGAGAGGCTGAGCTGGAGCTGTGTAGACACTGCTCCAAGGCCTCCAGATGCAGTCTAGTATTCTCTGGCATTTAAAGATGCTGCCCTGGGCCCAGGCAAGGAGACTTGTGGAGGTTTTGAGAGTATAAAAAAGTCGATTTGATGGTGATGATGGGTGCACAGCTCTGTGAATGTGCAAAAAGTCACTGTGTCTCAAGAAAACTTTTATTTAGGAGGGAAAAATTGTACCAAAGGAATGTTCCACCCCAGCTTCAGCTGCAACCACACAGTGCAGCCTCGATTTCTCCCATATCCCACAGACCCCTCACCTGCTGGGTTATTTGAAAACAAGTCTCGCGTGGTGTCATTTATGTATAAATACTTGTACACGTTTCTAAAGATTTTTTTTTTTAAGAGTCTCACAGTCACCCAGGCTAAAGTGCAGTGATATCGCGGCTACCACAGTCTTGACCTGCTGGGCTCAGGGGATCCATCTCAGCCTCCGGAATAGCTGGGACTACAGGCACATGCCACCATACCATGTTTCCCAGGCTGGTGTTGAACTAGGCTCAGGAAATCCTCTCGCCTTGGGCTCCCAAAGTGCTGGAATTACTGTGTGAGCCTGGCATTTAAAAGTCACAGTAGCAGTAGTTCATTACATGTAAAAAATGTAATGGTGAATTTTTTTTTTTTTTTGAGTTGGAGTCTCACTCTATCACTCAGACTGGAGTGCAGTGGCCACTCCCGGCCACCGCAGCCTCGACCTGCTGGGCTCTGGCGATCCTTCTGCCTCAGCCTTCCAGGTGAATTTTTAATATCCTGAAAACATCTATCAGTGCTCAGATTTCCCCGATTGTCACATGTATTTTGAAAGGAGTTTTTTGTTTGTTTGTTTTTTTCTTTTGAGTTGGAGTCTCACTCTGTCTTCCAGGCTGGAGTGCAGTGGCACACTCCCGGCCACCGCAGCCTCGACCTGCTAGTCTCCGGCGATCCTTCTGCCTCAGCCTTCCAAGTAGCTGGAACTACAGGTGCGTGCTACGACGCCCAGCTAATTTTTTAATTTATTGTAGAGATGAGGTCTCGCCAAGTTGCCCAGGCAGGTCTTGAACCCGTGGGCTCAGGCAATTCACTCACCTCGGCCTCCCAAAGCGCTGGGCTTACAGGCTGAGCCACTGAACCCGGCAGGAGTTTGTTTTATATGAACAGGAGCTTTTAGGTTTTCACAAAGCACTGAATGCCCAGGTTGGAAACTTACTCCTGGGGAGGGTGGGTGAATAAGGTCTCGGGGTAGGCTGCTGCTTTCTCAGAAACGAGGCAAGTTCAAAGGCAGCTCCGACTGGCAAATCCCAGCAAGTGCACAATCAGGGGCCACACTCTTAGAGTTGCTTTGATTCAGAGCACCAGAATAGTCCTATTCATCATGCCAAGGCACCAGAGCTACCCAGGAAACTGGCATTTCACTCAGCGCCTCATAGCCAGCCCCAGCTGGGACAATACTGGCCTGAAGAAAAGTGCCCAGGCTGGTTTGGCAGGAATGGGCCTGGCTGTGAGCCACTGTGGACAGGGTGCATGGAAAGGGAGGGGAGGGCAGGGCACCAGGCAAAACTCCCCACATCTCCACAGAAGCCACAGCTTCCTGGGACAAGGATGCACACCCTGGGCTGGGACAGGTCAGAGGGGTAGCCACTTCACTGAGAGTTTACAATGTCAAGACTCTGCCCTCTTCATCTGTGGAGAGTCAAAAACTGTCGAGTATAAAGTGAGCGGCTGACCTGGCATTCAATCTTAGACTCACCGTCCCTGCCCTGCAAGTCACGTGGTCCCAAGGCCAGAAGCCAGCAGATTTCACCCTTGGACCCTGGGAGACAGATGTCACTGCCCAGAGTAAGCATTTCATCAGAAAACCTCAGCTCTTTTTTTTTTTCTTTCTCTTAAAGAATGACTTTATAGTTTACAAGAACGGTACTCATTTACTATCAAGAAATTTCAACAAGGGTGCCAAGACAATTCCATGGGGAAAGAAAAGTCTTTGCTAATGGTGCCAGGATATGCACATGCAGGAGGTGCCCTTGGACCCTTGCCACTCACACCTTATAGGTTACCTCGAAATAGGTCATAGAACTAAGTGTAAGAGCTGGAACTAGAAAACGTGGAAATAAGTGAAAACCACCCACGTGAGAACAAGCAGAGATTACTCAGCTGCTGCTGTCAGGAAGTCGCTGTTTGCATTTGGCAAAGGCTGGAAGGCAGGCTGGGAAGTGGGAAGGTTTTAGGGTGGAGAAGAAAGGTCCTGGTGATCCCTGCTAGAAACTGCTGCTCAAGAAGTTGGGAGTACCTCACAAAAGCAGGGCTTCCTATAGGATTAGTTCAGGAGCACTCGGGCTTTTCGGGTTGGGCCTGCTTGGAAGAATTACGGCACTTTTCTTTTTTTTGAGTTGGAGTCTTACTCTGTTGCCCAGGCTGAAGTGCAGTGGCATACTCATGGCCACTATAGCCTTGACCTGCTGCGCTCAGGTGATCCTTCTGCTTCAACCTTCCAAGTGGCTGGAACCACAGGCACATACCCCCATACCCGGCAAATTTTTTGATGTATCATAGAGAGGAGGTCTCGCCACATTGCCCAGGCTGGTCTCAAACCCCTGGACTCAGGCAGTCCTCTCACCTCTGCCTCCCAAAGTGCTGGGATTACAGGCATGAACCAACATGCCTGGTAATTTAGAGCACTTATTAACCAAATCCGGTCATACTGGGCCAATTGCTGTACGGACTTTCATTTGGCTTCCTGGACTGGTTGGTGCAGACTGTGGGCCAGAGTGCTGTTCTTATATTTTGTTTGGTTTTTTTTTTTTTGAGTTGGAGTCTCACTCTGTCGCCCAGACTGGAGCTCAGTGGCCGCTCCCAGCCACCGCAGCCTCGACCTGCTGGGCCCCGGAGATCCTTCCGCCTCAGCCTTCCAAGTAGCTGGAATTACAGGCGCGTGCTACCACGCCCGGCTGATTTTTGATTGATTGTAGAGATGAGGTCTCGCCAAGTTGCCCAAGCGGGTCTCGAACCCGCGGGATCAGGCAATCCACTCACCTCAACCTCCCAAATGCGCGGGATTACAGGCTGAGCCACCAAGCCCGGCTTTGTTCTT